TGCGTATACATAACTGATGCGATTTGCAGCTAAAGCGAAGGGCTTCTTGATGGTGGTTGCGCTCAGAAGCTGCTATAATTGCTCCTTGGAGCGTGGTGTGCACGAAGCGAACTGCGATAAGCGGTTGAAGCACCTGCGGCGAAGCAGGTATGTGTCCGGCTCTCTCAGGAATATGGTTTTGCATATTGCAGAGAGGGCCAGTTATGCTTCGGCAGAATCTGCCGATGCTCGCCTTAGCAGTGAAGGGCCGTAGGCGGCCCTGGATTTCTGCATCCAGGAGCGAAGCCCGCGAGGGATGGTGCTGCAAAGGTGTCGCTGGAAGTCCGAAAAAGTAAATGTCTCAACACTGCCTGTGGCCTCTCATGCTGGGCCGCTGGGCTCTTCGGATGCTCGGACCTTCAGAGATTCATTTTCACGACTCACTCTCTCCCTCTCTCTCTCTCTCTCTCTGTCTCTCTGGCCGAACCTGCCCAGCTCGTGGCTATCGCTGGCCTGGATGAAACAATGAGGGCTGGCCTCATCCAGGCGCGCAGCCCACACGGGCCGGATGGCTGCATGGGTCTGTTGCGGAAAGATCGGATTCGTCAACGCAGCGGCAGATTCACCCGTCGTCGACAGGCCTTCACCATCAATGGCATTGTCCAAGTGCTGCAGGTTGCGGTGAAGAGCTGCAGCGATCTGCTCGGATACATCTTAAGACGGCATCAGCCAGGTTCATGCGGAGAATTCCGCGGTTGTGTTTTATGCACTGAAGGCTCGCTGCAATTGCTCCGCTGAATATGTACTCGTACGAAAAACTAAGTCGATAAGGCCACGGTGACTTTGGGCTATCCGCATCCGCCGCCGGAGCCTGCCCGCCAGCTTTTCGGATCCTTCCGTCATTCATTCCGGATCCCCTCCGGGCCGGGCCAGGATGATTCACATTTGCGAAAGCCTCCTGGATCTTGTCCTGGCTGCGCCTCGATGGCACGGAGGGGAGGCATCGTTTCAATCTCTTATGAGGACTCCCTGCACTTGCATGCATCACATGAGGTCATGCGTGCCTTCCCAGCAGAAGCGAGGATCCAGGAGTGGTGAAGTGCTGCACGACCGACGCGAGGGATGTGCTACGTCAATGTGACTCTGGTTTGGTCAGGAGACTGGCTGTGAGGCCTGACTGGGCGTCACGGGCAACTTATGTGGGTCTAGTTCCGATCTATTGCCACAGCTCGGAAGTCACAAGCATCGGAATCCTGGCCGGGCATCAGGTCTTGTCGATACTGGCTCGTGTGGAGGCCATGCAGGACCGGAGTCCTCAGAAGCAAAACGATACAATGTTTGAGAGGGAAATCAGCCTTGCCAAGCACATCCTTGCACGAAGGAGCCTATCATCACAAAGGGAGGAATTGCCGCGACCTTTTCCAGAATCTTTAGGATCCATTTCGCACAGTCGCACAGGACACTTGCTAGCGAAGTCGGTGTGGCTTGCAAGGCCTTGATTTGCACGGCACTGAAGTCTTTCCAAGCAGACACTGGCATCCAGCGAAAGGCCGGGGCCTGTGTGGCCAAGACTTGTCGGATGCCTGGAAAGCCCGAACTCGGACGACCAAGGGCTGCCGGGCTTTCGCCAACCTTGGCGAGTTCCAGACCTCCCGGGAAGCCATCCGCCGCGAGGAGACTCTACGAGAACCGTGGTAAGTGCATCAAAGAATCTAAGTGCCTCCTTTCGGCAAGAAGACCAGGGCGGCATCGAGCTCATCATCCTCGGGATGAAGTACCACGTCTCCCATCCAGAGGCCGCTTGAAAGCGCCGGATAGGCAACTCGGTTGAACGCATCGCTGCCCAGGTAGGAGAGCAAGGCTGTGCCGCGATAGCAAACCTGGCCTTAGACGAGGCATGGTCTCTCTTGCAATGGATAGTATCGAATTTAGCAGACAGCTGCAATGACCGCAACAGCAGGAAGAATCACGAGTTCAACGGGCACGTGATGACGATGTTGATGATGGTCGTCAGGATCATGATCGTGACCAAGACAAGCAAGATGACGGTGGCAGTGCTGATCACGATGGTGGATTGATCAGATGCCAGTGGACTGTTGTCCTGACAGTTTAATTGAGCTCAGGATGTTTCCAATGAACAGATGCAGCCAAGTGCTTTTGCTTGACAGCTTCGTTTGTTCTAGCGAGAGTGTCGTTGTGTCGTTGCCTCCACAAAACCCTTTCAAACTGGCCAAATGCCACCGGACGTTTTGTATGACAGTTTCGTTGCAGTCCGGATGTTTCCGTTCTGATGAGGTGACAGCGTTGTTTCGTGACAGTTTCGTTGCGCTCAATTTCTTCGAAATTGATTAGATGCATTGATATTCGTCGTGACAGTTTTGTTGCGCTCAGCGATTTTCCAATGTCATCAGACGCAGCGTTTTTGCGTGATAGTTTCGGTGCACACCCTGCTGAAAATTGACACTGATGATTTATTTCTTGAGAGAGAGAGAGAGAGAGAGAGAGAGAGAGAGAGAGTTTCCAACTTAATCAGATGCCAGCGTTCTTTGTTCGTGAAGGTTTCGTTGAGCTCAGGATGTTCAAAGGATTGTTCAGACGCGATGGATTTGGTCCTGACAGTTTCGTTGCCCAGGATAGTTTGAATTCGATCACAGCTGCAGCTTTGCTCGTTACATCGGTGTGCCCAAGACGCAGATGTGTTCGTTTCACTTAGGATGTTGCCCATTTGACAAGATGCAGCAGCTTCTTTTCGAGACGGTTTCGTTGACATTGAGCCCATGATATGACGGTGATGGTGGCGGTGATGGTGAACCTCATATTATGACCATGATAATCCCGACCAGGGTGTTGCGCAGTTAATGGTGGCGATGTCGATGGTCGCGATGATGGCATGCAGAAAGGAGCATTGTGCAGTTGATGATTCTATTTTCATAGTCCTTGGCTTGCAGGCGAATCGCACTCACATTGCTCAGAACGAGGGTGTGAATGCGGACGGGGCCTTGTCGTATGTTGTGCCGAGCTTCTTCCATCCCATCCCTGTGCAAAGGTCTTAGCAGGTTTGCGACTTCATCAGGCACATCCTGGAATCCAGGCATGTCGCTGCGTCGTGAACGAGCAGTTTCTCACAGTTTCGTTGAATCGAATTTGTGCAGCCCTCTGCCTCCGAAAGGCCTTTGGCCTAGGTGCCCTTGGAAACCTGGCCACAGCAGAGGCACTCTTGAATCTGCATCCTGCCGAGAGCGCGAGAGAGACTCCTGCATTGTGCCGACAAAGTGGAACCTCTAATTCACTTGGTCATCTTGGTCGTCTTGCTCGCTCAAAAAGGGCGGGGGCCAAGATTACAATTGCATGTCATTTAGGAGTCTTGTCATCTTGGTCATCTTGCTTGGTGGGGTTTGCCCGGCGGCGGGGTGTAAGGGGTGGCATCTTGGTAATCTTGGTCTTGGACCGCTTGCGCAACTATTACTCCAGACTCCAGCTCCCTGACGAGGACAATTGTGCTGTGATCCTCAAAGCCGGAGCAGTGGACATGGTGCGAGTCCCTGAATGGATTCAGTCATTTCATCTGCTCAGCTTGGGTCTTTGAAAGGTCATGCACGCCATGGCTTCCTGGACAGGCCCATGATGCCATGGAGGGCTGTTGCGCGAGTTGCCGTCTCTCGGTGTCCTTTCCTCGATTGGGTGCAGATGAACCCCGGGTCCAGCACTTTGCATGCCTGGCCTTGTCCAACTTCGCCCACGACGATGCCAACAAGGTTCCCGTGCATGTGTCGCTCTCGTGAAGGCTCTCGGTAGCCTTTTTACATCTTTTACTCAGGTTGCCATCGGCCGAGCGGGTGGCAACAAGAAAATCATCTCCTCCATGCAGAGGTGCCAGGGAATTCACGCCATGAGAGAGAAGGAAGTGCGTCTGTCTGCAGTGTTTGATTCTGCACTTTAGGCACGCGGACCATGCCGGCGTGCAGGACCCATCTCTTCCTTACGACTTGGCCAAAATGTCCCTTTCTTGCGTCAAAATTAGCAGAACATGACTTTTTGTCAGGAGCAGGCTTGTGGTGCTTTGGCCAACCTTGGTGTCAACCAGCAGAACATGGTTTGCCCGGCAGTTGGAATTTCTAATGATTTCCTGCTACTGTTCTCTTCAGATTGGCGACTACTACGGAATGTGATGACAGGTGGAGATCGCACAGTTGAGCGGGATTGCCCCAGACTTACATGCAGACGATGCAGCACCATCAGTCTGCCCATGCAAACAGTCGGTTAAGGAGCTTGTCATTTCCTCGCTGAAAAAGTTCCCCACAGAGCCGGGCGTGCAGGCCTCGCACCTGCGCTATTTCTTTGGTTCGCTCCATTCAGCACGTAAGTTCAGTGCTTCGAGCATCAATGGTCCATGATCAGGAGAACGGATGCTTCGCGCTCTCAAAGTTCCTCACGATGCCAAACGAGTAAGGGCCTCAGCAATGTGGCATCAATGGCTTTTGACGATCGTGCGCCGCCAGGTCCTACCGTCAAAGGATGAAGCAAGCAGACGCGGAGGCTGGTGCTGGCTAGAGGGAGTTCTCTGGGATGCACAGTTGGACGCGGTACCATCGAAACACAAGTGCACTGTACCTCTCAGCGGCCACTTGGCTCCAGATGACGCGTTGCATAGGGCACGGGCTTGGGCTCAGCAAAGGGGTCTGCTCCTCAGACTGTCGAAAGCTGTCACATTCCTAAACAACTCACTGAAAATTATGTGCTACACTACATGAGTTCGTGGTGTTTTTTGATAGGTTGGCAGGCAGCAAAGCATGCAAAATATCTGAAATGCCAGTACTGTGCCGCGTGCTTCCTGCGCCGAGGATCAGCGAGATCCGCCTTGCTAGACCCAGGCTCGATCAAGCAGGCCGGAGCCTTCCGCTTTCTGCAGTTACGCCACGACCTCTTGAGGCTTGAAGCCTCCCTCACTCGATTCGCAGATCCTCTCAGATTCGTCTGAACTGGGACTGTACAGCTGCGGCGCGCAGGCTCTGAAAGCTCTGATGCAGCCGAGTGAGCGATGGCGGGCCATGCTGGAGATCGGTGCGGCTCAGGCGCGCCGAGATGCTATACAACATGGCCGGGTAGGAGCAAGATGCCACGTGATTCACATCTGCAGCATAGGAATTTTGGGCAGAGCCTCCAGTCGAAAGGCTGCAGGGCACGAGACCGACCCACAGATGCTGCAGATTTCCTACCGCAACCAACTCGGCCGGTTCGGCAGGGATGCTTGTGCACAGGAATGTCCAGCTACAGTTCTCAACGAGGCAAGCACGACCAAGAAGAGGTGGAGACCGAAATTGTGTACGAGGACTTCGAAACAGAAGAAACTGGCCACCACAGGTCTCAAAGTCCCTAGCACTTTCGATTTTCTCGAGTTGCATGGCGACACAGCACAGCCATGGCAGATGCAGACATGCAGGCTTCAGCTCAAGACTGTTTGAGGATGCAGCCGAAGCAGGCGAGCAGCCGCGGCTCCTCGTCTCGCTGAAATCTGCCTCTGCCTGAGCTTGCGAGATGCCATTCTGGGTGCCAGCAAGCCAGGGCAAGTACAGTACAGTCACGTTGCAAACGTCCACGCCATGTCGCCATGGTTCGCTTAGATCCGCACGCCGTGTGAGGTCAGCACTTTGAAGCTGCTCTGCGAGCATGAGCACGCCAGGCTGGAGCGGCTGGACATAGGGAGCGAGCGTGCTTCGAGGGTTTTTTGTTGCATTCTTCTCTGGGAGTCTGGGAGGTGCGACAAGGTGAGCAACATGCTGGCAGAATGTCGGTCAGCGTGACCCGTCGAGCTTGCAAGGGTTCCTTTGTGCAGAAGTGGTTCGGGTTCGTGATGCGTTGGTGTCGACACTCACAGCGACAAGCTTTGGATGTCAGAGTGTTGCTACGGTTGCTACGATAGACAAGCGCGTACCATCGTGCTGGAGCAGATATGCAGTGCCAAGCAAATCTGGCCCTGGCCCGCGAGTAAATGTAGCACGCACATCAGGATTGGATCACTCTCAACTCATCGGCCTGGCAGGTATTACAAAGAGCTCAGGTGGCTGAGGGAACAGCCGCTTGCTTTCACTTGTTTCCCCAAGCCCCTACCCTAAAGCCCTAAACCCTGAACGCTAAGCCCTGCACCAAGCTCTTTGCTCCCAGTGGCCGAGGCTCTACCTCGCCTATGAAAGCGAGGAAGATGCAGCAGCTCGCCGGAACCTCCTGACCCCCGACGACTTCGAGGCCTTGAGAGAGAGTGTAGCTCCCCTAGAATGCATTTCTGAATGCATCATTTGAAGTACAAAACAGTACTTAACTTGGAAGGTCTATTGGTTTGAGCCGGAGAAGTTCCTCGATGAGGATACGAGGCCATTGCCTTTAATGTGTGACTCATGTATGATTTACACCATCCCTGCTTTGCCGCACAGGGACTTCCTCATACGGTGCGTCCGTGAGACGAACAGGCGGTTGCTAGACGAGTGCCTTGGTGCAGACAACGTCGCAGCTGCAGAACATTGCGCGTCGAGACTGTGCTGCTACCATCTGCCGCTCCTGAGGAACCGCCAGCTGAAGTCCACGCTTCAGGATTACTTGGGGGTTAATGTGTTTTAGAAGAAGCATCTCGTCACACACTTTCAGTCTGAAACGCTCGGCGGGTCGTGCTGCGAAGCTGTTCCCTGAGCCAGGAGATGAACCTTTTTGAGAAAGCTTCTTTACCGACAGTCTTGAAGAGGCTGAAGCTGAAGCACGCTGCCGCACAGATCATGGTCGAGCTCTATAATTTGCTCCGGACCAGAGCCGAAATGAAAAAGTTTAAGGAAGCGGCGTGTGATCTGATTGGCATGGCTATGCCTCCGGAGTCCCAGCCGGCGACAGCAGCGACAGGAGCGGCAGGTGTCACCGAGGCAGGAAGTCAGGAGGACGGCGCCGCTGCGAGTGGACCTGGGCTCACAGCCTCTGATGCTGGTCTTGATGAGCTGGCGGATCTCCGCAGCCAGGCGCAGCGGCAAGAGGCCGGCCCGACAGCTCGTTTCTTTCAGACTATTACACAGACACAGATCTGCAGTTTGAAAATCAACACATGCCTTACGGAATTCTGAGGCCGAGCTCCTGGAGCTTCGCTCGAGGCTTTCTGGGACTATCGACGCTCGCCTGGAGCAGGAGAAGGCTCAGCGCGCGGCGGAGGAGCGCGAGCGTGCCGAGGAGCGTGTGGGGCAACTCCAGCGCCGCCTCTCGGAGCTCGAGAGGGAAAAGGAGGCCTTAGCCGCGGAGCTCCTCGAGACCCGGGAGTTAGAGCCCGAGCTGGAGCGAATGAAAAACCGCATGGTCCGCAGTGTACACAAGATCAGCGAGAGCTTGCAGACACTGGGACCCGGAGCCGCCGGAGCCGGAGACGACGAGAGGAATGCGCGGAGCTCTGCGCTGTCCACGGACGACCTGTGGGATTGGGAGCAGGACGAAACGGATAGCGTTGCGGGCTCGTTCAGGGCCGCACTCTCTAGGTTGGACTCCTTGGTAATCGCTCTTCCGTCTACGGTGCAAGACGTTGCCGTAGAGATGCAGCAGCTGAAGCAGCGCTGTGATGAGCTGGAAACCAACTCCATGGCTCCAACAGCTGATCCGGAGGAGCACGGAAGTGAAACCGCTTCATGAGAGCTTAGACGACGACTTGCTTTATCCTCGCTCGCAGATGCCGTTCCTTCCTTTCGCGTAGGAGCCGCTGTCCGTGGAGCCGGAGCACAGCCCTGCGGCCAGCGCGACTGGCACCCATCGGACGCAACCAGACTCTGGGAGGACAAGCTACATGCATGAGAAGCACGGATACAATTTCATGATAGTTGCGGTGACGTGACACATGAGCGATATTGGAACTTGCGGACTGTAGCAGCAGACACTCCAGCGGCGCAAGTGCTTCAGGCTAGTCATGACTCGTCATGTTGTTCTTGCGTGTGAACGAGGACGGAGGCCCTCCTGGCGGCCGCGGCATTTTCCTCTGCCGCGGGGACCGAGATCAGCGACTTGCGGGAAAGTCCCTGCCCCTCGAGTCCAACCAGTCCTTTGAGTTCGACTAGCGGGAGACGCCCGCAGAAGTCCTGTGAGATGGAGCCCTCAGAACTGTCGGAACAGGAGGGGCTGCGATGGTGGGGCATGTGAGTTTTGCAGGTTTATGATAGCGAAGGCATCTTTTTTTGGCCGGTGAGTTCCTTGGTCCTCTGCGTAGGTCCGTGACCTGACGACGAAGTTGGATCTTGCCAACGAGAAGATCCGACTGCTCAAGGACGGATGCCGGGTACTCTTTATGAGAGTGTCGTAGGGACCGGACTCCGGAGCGGAAAGGAGACTTTCAGGGCCGCCCCCGCAGGAGCAGTTGCTCAAGCTCGGCCAGAAGCATGGGTTACCGGAAGAGGGCCTTCTCGGCCTCTCTTCTGAACTCTGGGCGTGCGGTGTTTTGCATAACCTAGCTGATGTCAGCTCTGCGGCTCAGGTGAGAAGGGCTTGGAAGAGGTTCCCGACTTCTTGCTTCCCTACCAGCTGCTGGCCAAGAGGAAGTTGCCAAGATGGCAGATCCTGAGCCAGGAGGGGCCGCTCTGGCGCTGATGGCCAGCATGGCACCGCTTAGCGAATACCTAGACCTAGATGATGGACAACGCACCCTGCATCTATCTCTCTCTCTCTCTCTCTCTGCATCTGCTTTCATGAAACATTGCGTAGCACCGAACACCACTGCAGTGCATGGCTGCTGGGATTTTCATGCTCCAGGATGCCGAGCTGAAACGGAAGAAACGGGAGTACCTCGAGAAGGCTGAGAACAGGACCGTCGGGAAGGAGGTGGACCTTGCCAGAATCCTGCCGTTCGAAGTGCGAAGCTTCCCAGCTGGTTTTCTGACAGGTCTTTGCGGCCTTCGACTTCCTGGTTACTGCCGCAGCCGCGATGCCCTCATGCACATGTTGCCTTCTGCGGATTCTACACTTTTCCCAAGCTGGTTCGAGTTGGGCGAACCCTGCATTGCTGCTTTGCGTTGTGAGCCCCGAGGCGCAGCCGCAAGCACCGCAGACAGGCGCACGACTGCCTTCGCCATCGCACGCTCCTGAGGCAGAAACCAGTACCGCTTCCCAGCCAGCCGCAAAGAACTAGAGTGCTTAGCACCCTTCGTATCTCAACCGGCATGAGGCTTGAAGCCCCAACAACCTTCCAAGGCCCGCAGTCCGTCGCTTTTCGGCTTTGGAGCAGCTGAACACCAACAAGGCGGGCACACGGCGCACTCAGGGTTCTTGAAAGAAGAGATGCACTGAGAGCAGGTCACGGTCAGCTCCAGACTGCAAAGTCCGCCCCGACAGAAGAGCCTCGGCGTCCCCAACTCCCCGAGACTCCGAGTGGGTGACCTGCCATCCCGGTCCGCCTCGCCGGAGAGAAGTCCCTTGCAGCAATCGCCATCCCGGCAGCCGGGAGGCGCCGCCGGCGCCGCACCGAGGCGGCCGAGTGCCACCGTCTGCCCTTGCAGCGACACTGCAGATTTTCAAACCTACACCCCCGGATGCGTGCAGGGCAACGCAATTTTCAGTGCCGCGAATGTGGCCGGTTTCACATCTCCCAAGGAGAGCAGCCAACTTCAGCAACTTCAGAACGCACCGAAAGGTACTGCGGGTGCCTTTCTCATGGATTCCCCTGCAACACACGTTCCGCCCACCGGAGCCAAAACAGACACCAATTTCTACCGCGCCCGTCCGACAAGCAACGACACCAGACACACAACAAGTGCGAACGACGACAGGTGCCGCGACAGGCGCCATAGCTATGTTCCCAGTACACGATGGTCCACAAGAGACAATCCGACTCGTGACGTGGTGCAGCCAAGCATTTCACTTCCTCGCCTTCACGGCCGAGTGACGACAAGCTTGACGCACAAGTCCCAGACCTGGACATCCCTCAAGGACGACCGGGCCTTACAACTTACAGTACTGCCCCTGCCCCCGCCCTTCGCAGTCCACCATGGCCATCCGCCTGCTCAGGTCTGGTTGGAAATGGCAGGACTGCCTTCAGTCTCAGTGTCTTCGATGCCTCCGGGCTCGAAGTGGATCCTTTCAGATGACCAGTGTTGGTGCGTGCACTGTATGTCAGGATCACGCTGTGCCAATACCCGGCGATCGAATTCGAGGTTTGACAGCTGCTCCCAAAGAATGAAGTCAAAGACCTATATCCTGGCCACAGGTCAAGCCCCGCAGATGGCCAGGCGCCGGCGGGTAACTTGAGATGCACATCTGCACAACCCTGAATTTGAGTGTCGCGGCCTTCATGTCGCAGGCGGCCGCCCCTTCGCGGGTCTTCCTGCCAGGAAGTGCTCGGTTCCCACCAGGCCGGTCAGACGTACATGTACAGTCTCTGTGTGAGTGTGGCACTGCTTTCCAAAATGATGCCGTTTTTTGATGTAGAGATGGGCTTCGCAGTGAGGTGATGTAGTGAGCAACTGAATGTTCATTGACACATTCTGCAGAAGCCATCAGCCCACAGGGGAACTTCGGGCTGAGGCGCTGTGAAAACACTGCCGCTGCGGAGCGGCTTCTGATCTGATGTCCACTGTCCACGGCTCTCCCTTTCGGAGTTTGCGACAGTTTGAGTTTATTCGGTTACACAGTGCTGGGTCGCGGCCACAGTGTATTACGAGGCATTGCTAGGTGTTGCTCTAAACATTGCAGCATGACCACCTTGCATGGTCTCTGCTGTTCTTGTGTCATCAAGCAACTGTGCACGGTGTTGTTCTGGTCTTTGTGTTGCTCCTTGCTGGCCGTCGCTTGGAACCCTCCGTTATTGAGGTTTTGCAACATTGTTTATCATCAGTTGTGTCAATTAGTGGCCACACCAGGACTTGAGGTCTCGGGCTTGGGATGCAGCTGTGGGTTTGAACCATCAGATGAAGCAAGTCCCTCATGGTCATTGGATTGGACAAAGCGAGAGCTGTGTTTTTGTCTTCCGACGCGGCAAGCAGACCTTCCCACCTTCAGTGGCTGGGAAGCTCATAGAAGTGTTTAAAGGCAGCGGCATAGCCATGGCCGCAGCCACATCACCCCGACCCGGTACTCAAAGAGTCCGAGCGCGGCACAAGTCCGGCGAAGTTCCTGACTCTTTCGCTAACGTGCCAGCAGGTGCCTCCGTCGTCTTAGAACATGGTATAGATGTCTTCTAAATGCAATGCCCGGAAGCACCTGCTGTCTCCACTCCTGACATCCCGCCAGGAGGCTGAGATGCATTTGCAGGCCGACCATCTTTTGAATCCGTGCAAAAGAGCTTTTGGGGCCCAGGTTGGGAGGCCTTTCATCCAGGTCTGGGGCTTGCCTTTTCGAGGCCGCCCTGGAGGTCATCAAGAACTCCAAGCCTTCCTTTGATGTGAAGATCTGCTGCAATGCCCGAAGCTCACAGCTCTTCTCGTCTCCTTCATTCTCAGTCGGACATGCGTCATCTTTGGTGGCTTGATGTGGCTTGTGCAGTGGTTCCTGTGAAACTCGTGCAAGAGCCGGAAGCCGCAGTCAAACCTCCCTCCCTCGATCAAATCTGCTAATCTGAGAGACGGCTGAGCCACCGAGACAGCTGCATGTACTTGTTGGGATCTCTGCTTGTCTAGAGTGTACCAGACAAGATTGACTTCCTGGGTTCATGCTTCGCAGACGAAGGTTCAGGTTCGGGGCCCATGCAGGCACGCAGCAAGACCTGCAGGTCGATGGCAGAATGGCAGCCTCCGACCCTCCACGAAAGACACCCTTCACATGGCAAAGAATTTTATGGGACCTCAACTCCGGCCAAAGGTCCTTCTGCGACGCCTCGGAGAGGAGGCCAAGGCGGGTGCGCCATGACCCCAGGAACTTGCTCTTTTGTTTCCATGGTTGTTGGTTTCGAGGCATGTGGGGATGACATCGGATTTATTTGACTCCGTCACCCTGCACATGACTTCTGCGGGCAGATGTTGGTAGAGTCCGCAGCTTCTTGCACAACAGCAGCGGGGTTGTTGCGCCGCTCTCTGTTGCTCCCGCAGTGTGCCGATGTGTGTGTGTGTGTGTGGACCTCTGTTACCAAGAGGAACCGTTTTTGAAACACGTTGGACAGTTGTGCTGAATTACAGAAAATTGCAGGGGGCAGAGGGTCTCATTTCACGGCCTCTGCCAACGAAGCTCCGTGATATTGAGACAGGTAAACGTACCTGCAGTGGTCGGCATGGGCACTTTCGTGCAGCTTGTGACCACACAACTGTTGATTGCGAGTAGGAGTGCAGTGCAGTTTCATGTGCATGTCTGGGAGATTTTGCCTTGTACAGTGGAAAAGTCAGAGATCAAGTGAAGATGAGCCTTGAGGCCAGATAGGTACCGGACCCCCTGGAAGCTTCATGCTTTCGAGATACATCAAGCTGTGCTTGATAACCAGATTGATTAGTGGCTGCGCGATGGATGTCTAAGTGTGTCCCAGGTAGTTACAAGCTGGTCTTGTATTCGTTTACCGCGCTACCTGCGGCGGGGTTAGCCCGTGCGAGTACCTGCCAGGGTGGATCTGATAAAGGCAGGGATACATTGTTTTGGGCCCGTCGTGGTCCTCACAGGTCCGACTGAATTTGCTGCTCCGATGGTGCAGACATCTGATTACTTCAGTCGCGATGTTTTCTCTGCTCCTGACTTAATGTCAGGTTTGATGCCAGGTTTCATTGCAGGTCCTGAATTTTTGCAGATCCGATGGAACCAACGGCTTTTCTATCCGCAGACCACGATTTCAGCTCCGAGACACAAGCCTGTAGCAATCTTTTGCGATCATGTCGTGGACCCGTGAACAAGATTGGGCCAAGTCGTCCTGGGCTAGTTCGTCTTGGGAGAAGAAAGGATCGTCGGGTTGGAACAACCGTGACTGGCAAAAATCCCCTCAACAGTCTGTTCCCAGCACCAATGTTGCCATCCCATCGTCTTTTACCAGTGACTGGGAGTGTTACGACAAGAATGCTATTTCTGGCAAGAAGTTCTTTCGTAACATCCAATCCACGCCCTGGTCTACGAAAGCTAGACTGGCTGGAGAAGATGTCGCCGATCTTCGTGTCTCAGACCTGACGAGAAAAGGTCTTGATGACTTCAGTCTCCGCTGTTTGTCCAATGGAGAATTTCAGAGCTTAGTATTCGTGAGGTCGATTTCAGAAGCAGTGTTTGTGACTAACCTGCTTCGTCACATTCGGCAAGACCGAATTGATCTTGATGCCGTGGCAGCAAATATGCACGGCCCAGCTCCGCCTGACAAGCACAGGGAGTCTGCGAGATTTATGCAACCATTGCTTGGCGAAATTGTCTCAACAATCAAAGCCAACTCGCCTCCCCCGGCGGATTCAAGCCAGCAATCGCCTGAGAGTGAACAGCTTGCTCGTGCGAAGCGAAAGTTGAAGGAAGCTGGGACTGCTCTTACTCCAGAGAAGAAGCAGGCCAAAACTGGCCCAAAGCCCACCGCTTCACCTTCACCGTCAGCTGGGCAGATTTTGAATGCGGAACTCCCGAATCCGCCGAACTCTGTTCCGAGTTCCAGCTCCCCTGATGTTGTTGAAAAATGGCTCAAGAAGCATCAGAGCCAGTTTCGTGGTCAAGCTGCAGCTTTTAAGAAACATGTGGCTGATGTTTGCTCTGTGCTGAAAGATTCAGCCACTGATCGGCAAAGCCTGGCAGATCTCGCTATCAAGTACGGCTTGAAGAAAAGCCATGCCAGCAAGATGTCATTCACCAATTTGTCTTCGTTCATTGGTGCATGTCAGTTTGAATCAGCTTGACTAGCTACCCAAGCAAAAACGGTGCAACATCAGCCGATTCAGGTCCGTAAGAGGCTTGCTTCAGCAGTGTGCACGCTTGGTACAGCAGCAGCTTTCATGTTGGAGTTTGGCGATGGAATACCCAAGACTCCGCTGATTTGGGTGCATACATTGATGTCGTTGGTGTTGTTGTTTTACCTCAATGCACCCAGCCAGGATGATTCACACAGATTCAAGATTGTTCGGAGATTGCAGCAGTTCGGAGTGGATCCAGATACTCTGCATTATTCTCTGTTTGAGAAGCCGAACACTGTATATTGCATTTTTCAAGTTGATTTCGACATGGGTCGATTTCGTTCGGGCTACCGTCAGCCCTCATCACTTCTGTATGTGGGAAGCACTGCTGTCGGTGCAGCCAAGCGGCATTTGAACCGCATGGCAGTCTACAGAAGACTTCAAAGAACCGAATTTGTGGATGCAGAATTGTCCCTGAGATATTGGGCATCCCAACACAACCTTTTCCAGTTTGTGCTTGTTCCGCTGGAATTTTGTGACAGCTACCAGCGAGCTTGGACTGTTGAGCACGAACTCATTGCTCAATGGCAGGCACCTTTGAATTATCCCAGAGCAATGTCTCTCATTAAGAAGACCGCTCTCGGTTTCCGAATTTCGTCCAAACGCAGAGGGTCATTGTATTGCACCTTTGGCCTCCGACTTTGGCGCAAACTGCGAAAGCGCATGTTTGGTCGCAGTTCGAAATTCTTCATTCATGACTCTCGGGAGTTAGCCTGGGGGCTTCTGTTTAAGCTGGCATCGAGAACCCGAGCATCCTTTGAAACAGCGAAGCTGCTCCGATCCAACAAGACGGCTGACGAGGAAGTGTATGCCCTCATCAAACTCAGTCGCAATATCGAAAACCCTCATCGCAACAGGGTGCAAGGAATACTCAAAGGTGTAGCCAAGTTTCGCAAGAAGATGCACTGGCCACGGACTTCCCGACCTTTGGGAGTCCTGCCAACTGCGTCTCCTTCGTTTTCCAAGGAGTGCGAGAAGTGGTTAAAAGACCTCATCCTCCGGTACAAGTATCTTTTTCCATCTTTTCATGTTCCAAAGAACAGCCTACGTGAAGTTCCGCACCAGAGTATCAAGAAATTTCTCCACAACTTCCGATCTTGGGAAGAAACGATGTGGGAGCACGACTTTGATTTGGAGTCGGTGCACTGTCCGTGTGAGCAGTTTGCAGGAAAACTTCCTGCTCATTGCTTCGTGTCTGGCCACGTAGCCACAGGTTTGGAGAACCTGACCAAGCTACTACCAGGCTGTTCGAGCATCTTATCGGCCAGTGCCGCGAGCACCTTTTTCCCAGGCCGCAATCACTGGATGGCCAAGTCCAGAGCTCTGTTTGATCAGTGGCTCAAGAGACACAAGCTACCAGCGACGTTGCATCCAATTTTTCAATCCTTTTGTGACCACCAGTGGCAGCAACATGTTGCAGCCCTGGAACAATCAGACAGACTACACTGGGCTTTGGTACAGAAGGTGAAGTCTGCCTTGCACTCAGATTTTGTTCTGTACAACGAAGATCATCATCCGAATCATGTCGTGTGCTATTGTCCTCGCTTCTTCCTTCGAGGAGTTAGCACCACATGGAACGATCCCTCTGTGTTTCGTATTCTTGATGGTACCCCTGAAGAATGGAGACAGCGCATTTTGGAGCGCGTTCCTCGAGATCTGTCCAGAAGATACGCCTGGGCCTTCAAAGAAACAGCTCCGCTGCCTCAAGGCACTGTGTTCCTGAAACGGAA